GAGTATAAACTCCAGGAAGGGAAGAAAGTTACTGTTTTGTTTTCTATTACTCAATATCACTAGTGTGTAGAATACTACTTAGCACATTAGAGGGTGCTCCAGAAATTCTCACTCAATGAATAAGATAGATTTTGTAGGTTACATGAAGAATTGGCCTTAATAATTTGTATATTTTTACTGTATATATAAGGAAACATGGGATATTTTTTATATTTTCTACCTAAATATTTTATTACAGATTGGTTGTATCCCTGGAGGTCCTAAAATCTTGGCTGTTAGATTTTTTTAAGTGTGTTTTGTTTTTTAAATAGGGAGGCCCTATTTATTTAGTTTATTTAAATGCTTAGTTTTTTTTAACCTACTTTAAAATATTTTTATTTTTATTGAAGTAACATGAACTTAATTTACAATAGTATATAGGTTTCAGGTGTGTAGTGTCTCACTTCAGCAACTGTATGTGTCACCCTTTGTATTTAAGTAATGTTGCCTTAGAACACTGTAAGTTTCAGGTGTGCAGCATTGGAAATAAACATATGTATATACTACAATAAGTTTGCCACCAAAAATCCAATTCTATCCTTTATACAATTAATACCTTTTATGGGTTTACCTCCATTCTCTCCTGGTTACTGCTAATTTGGTCTTGCAGTCTCAAAATTTATTTTTTATTTTTTTTAATATTTATTTATGCACACAGAACTGGGGTATAGGCCAGAGGTGTGGTGGGTGAGAGGATTCACCAAAGACAGAAAGGGAGCTGAACAGGCAGATCTACTGAAATACACTGCTGAGGGGAGCAGCAGGCGAGACAGGAGAGGTCTGCTACACCATGTGGGTCAGCTCCCTGGCCGGAGATTGAGCTCATACTGCAGTGGCTTCAGAGGGCTTCATAGTGTGGTACTTTAATCCATTGCGCCACCAGGGAGAGCCCTAAAAATTTATTTTTTAAAGATTTATTTTATTTATTTATGCATACAAAAACTTAGATGTAGGCCAGAGGTGTGGGATGGGGTGAGAGGATTCACCAGAGACAAAGTAGGGAGCAGAACAGGTAGACCTAGTGAAATACACTGCCGAGGGGAGCAGAAGGTGAGACAGAAGAGGTCTGCTGTGCTGTGTGTCAGCTGCCTGGCTGGGGAGTGAATCTGTGGCTGTGGATCACTTCACAGTGCGGAGATTTAACCCCTTGTGCCTCCAGGGAGGCCCTATTTATTTAGTTTATTTAAATGCTTGGTTTCTCTATGTACCACATACGAGTAAAATCAAGCCATGTTTGTCTCTCCCTTATTTATTTTACTAAATATAATAACCTCAAGGTGCATCTATTTTGCAAATGGCAGGATTTTATCTTTTTTTCTTTAATAGCTGAATAGTATTCTATTGTGCACATATGCCATATTTCCTTTATGCAGGTATCTGTCACATAGGGTCTGCTAACTCTAGGCTGCAAAAAGTGCTATAATTACTGGGGGAGAGGGTACATATATATCTTCAAATTAGTGGAAAATAAGCCATTTTGTCTACATCATTTTGATGGTGTTCTTTCTCTATGCTCTACTGAGATATATGAAACTTTATTATATAATAATATCATCAGAATTATAGAGAAGGTCTCCAAGATATTTGTCTTGGAGAACTAGGCAATCCTCTAATATTCAAGAGTAATTGTTCCCATTGTTTTAGCCTGTAAAGATAGTGCCTGATAGAGATAATTACCATAAAAGAAAACTCACATTGATAAAGGTAAAATTATTAGTAAAATTTGTTACAGCTAAAAACTGAAAGGTGATTCTGTTTTCCTGATAAAATTGATGAAAAACACTAATCTTAAGAAAAATTAGTTCATGTATAGAGAAGACAACTTGAATTAAGTGTTAGACTTTTGTATATTAAACAGATTGAGATATTAAATATGATTAATAGGCTTTCACCTCAGGAAATTAAAATAAATATATCCACCATTTGCAACAGAATCCTCATCAAAAATCATTAAATTTAGAAGATTAGTTAAAAAAAAAGTTTGTGCTAATCTTCTAAGATATGTTGATGAATGAAAACTTGACTCTCTAAAATGTGGTATTATGTCATCAGCATGTGGACTTGTTCTTTTCCCTTCCTGCTTTACTCACCTCCAAAGTAAATGTCATCTGCTGGGGACACATCATTCTCCATCAGCCCCATCTGTACAGACAGTTTATGTACTATGGGGATGACCTTTCATCATGTGGAATATGATCAGAGGAGTGGCATTTGGCTAGCTCATTCGGAAGAGTCTAACATCGTCTTGGAACCTCAGAAAGCTCGCCAATCCTGTTGTACATAAACACGTTCTGCTTTCCAGGGACAGAAGAATCAGTGAGCTGTATAGCTCCACATCCTCTTTTAGGGACAAGAACACCAAGGACAGGAAGTGAGGGATGAAGTTTTACAGTTAATTACTTAGGATCACAGTTAATTATTAGCAGATCTGAGACTAGAATATGAATTCCCCAACATGCTACACTACACCCTTCGTAACCCTGAGTTGGTTTGTCTTCCAAATTCACACCAGGCTGTGAATTCTGACCTGTCTGATGTTAATGTTGTAAATATGTACTTTCTGGAAAAATTGGTTATATTTACTTAAGACCTCTTAACGGCATTACAAATACCCACTTTTTTTTAAAGTTAATATTTGCATAGAGGAAGGAAATGTATAGGCCAGAGGTGTGTGGGTGCCTGGCTGGTAAGCAGACTCACCAGAAACAGTGAGGAGCAAAACAGGAAGATTTTACAGAAATACACTAAGAGGGCACCCCTAGGCCACCAGGGAGGCCCACAAATAATCTACTTTCTAAAATAGAAAACCATACACCCATTTCTTTCCTTTGCATGTGTCATTGACCTGAGAAGACCCAATCATCATTTTCAGTGATTAGGGATTATCCCAGGGAGTTAGTATAGTCTACCAAACTATGACTTAAGAAAATGGCATATATTGTATATTTTTGAAAAGGCAAATATCTGGGCCCTCCCTGGTGGCGCAGTGGGCTAAGGCACTGCACTAAGAAGCTTAAACCACTTCCGCATGAGTTCGATTCCCGCCTGCCCCGGAGGTGACCACATGGTGTGGCAGACCTCTCCTCAGCAGTGTACTTCGTCGATCTGTCTGTTCTGCTCCCCACTCTGTCTCTGGTGAATTCTCTCACCCTCCGCATCTCTGGCCTGTACCCCAGTTCTGTGTGAATAAATAAATAAATCTTTAAAAAAAAAAAGGCAAATATCTAAGAAAACAATAGCAAGTTACTAACTGCAAATTAGCCAAGTCATGCAGAAGAACTAAAACTCAAAAGAGGCCATGGTAGGCATGGAAAGGGCATGGATTTCAGATTTGGACAGGCCTGAGCTTCAATTGTGCCTCTTCTACCTTAGTTATGTGTCTGTACTCATATATGCTTTGCACCTTAATCCTTCAAGCTTTAAAATGGGATAACAACAATAATAATAATAACACCTGGCTCTCAAAAGAATTTTAGTGTCAAAGGAGGAAGTTGTAGTTTTATCTTCTTTCCACACTCAGATTTAGCCTAACTTTAGGTACACTTCAGTAAGGATTGACATCTTTAACCACATTTCCCTTTCTTTTATAAACTTAGTTACAGTATCTTTCAAAATGGAAATCGACTTCCAATTTGTCCTGATTATAAACAGTTCACATATTCTAACAGATAAACCTTATAAGATACTTAGGACAATAGGTATTCAATTTTTGTTTATTTTTTCAATATATTTGCATAACATATGTCTGATAAGGGACTAATATCCAAGATCCACAAAGATGGATCATATGACCCAATAACAAGAAAACAAATCACCCAATCAAAAAGTGAGCAGAGGAGTCAAAATACTTCTCCATATAAGACATGCAGATGGCTAACAGGCACACAAAAATGCTTATCACTTATCACAGGGGAAATGCAAATCAAAGCCTCAATGAGATTCCATCTCATAACTATGTGAGTGGCCCATATCAAAAAGAACAAATACAAGCGTTAGTGATGATGTGGGGGAAAAAAAGGAACTCTTGTACACTGCTAGAGGTCATGTAGACTGATCCAGTCCCTATGGAAAACAGTGTGGAGGTTTCTCAAAATACTAAAAATACAACCACCATCTAGCAATTCCACTCCTAAGCCTCTACTCAGAGAATGCAAAATCACTAATTCAAAGGGATATATGCACTCCTATATATGCAGCACTATATACAATAGCTAAGTTATAAAACAATCTCAATGCCCCACTCAGCTATTAGAAAAGATGAGCTCTTGCTACTTATATCAGAATGGATACTGCTAAGAGAAATATGTCAGGGGAAAAGGAACTATCAGGTGACTTCACACGTATGTGGAATATAAGAAGCGAAACAAGGAATAGACAAACCTAAATCCAAACAAACCCTAGAAATATGACAAGAGTTGAGACTATCAGAGCACATGGCTGGGGGTGTGGTGCAAAGGGCCCCAGTAGGCTATGGTGGAGAATTGTGGATGATTTGGTGGTAGGCTGCAAACCCTCCAGATATGTGCATCTCAAGAACCGTGACTTCTACCCCTAAATCATATATAATGTTATAAGCTAATGTTAACCTCAACAAAAACCTAGAAGTTTTAAAAAGGACACTAGGCATTCAGTAAGTGGCAAATAATCAGAATGCTGATGAAGATTCCCACATATGCCTCCTCAAAATTTGCCTGTCAAGGGTTTTTAAATTAAATGTGGACTTGTTGAGCCCTAGAATCAAGTCAAATTTAATTACTGGACTACAGTGCCTATAATTTCAACTCTAAATACTCATCTCAGTTTTTGTTTGCTGGAGGCAGTAATGGGATTGAAAGGGAATGTTCACTGAGCAAGGCAGAGGAAATATCAGGGTCAAAGACGGATGTCGGATAAAGGAAAGGGAGGATCAGCTTCTGCTGGGTTGGGAAGCAGGGCAAGGGGTCGAGGTGCAGGGTACTCACCGCGGCCCACCACCAGGCGTGGGGGATGCTGGTGAAGTTGGTACCGGGCACGTCATGCTCCACAGAGTAGGCGGCCGCTGAGAAGGCAAAGATGCCAATGGTGATGAAGAGCAGGAGGCAGCCCACCTGCTGGTAGCACTGGCGCAGCGTGAAGCCGAAGGCGCGCAGGCCTGTGGAGTGGCGCGCGAGCTTGAGGATGCGGAAGATGCGCAGGAGGCGCACGACGCGCAACACCTGGCCCACCTTGCCCACGCGGCCCACAGTCTCGAGGTCGTGCTCGTGCGGGGAGCCCTTGCCGCGCCCCTGGTCCTGGCCGGTGAAGCACTCGAGCAGCAGCTGCAGGTAGAGCGGCAGGATGGCCACCAGGTCCACCAGGTTGAGGGCGCTGCGCGCAAAGCGCCGCAGGTCGGGCGTGGAGCCCAAGCGCAGCAGGAACTCCAGCGTGAAGAAGGCCACGCATGCCGCTTCCACCTGCTCCAGGATGGGCCGCACGTCACTGCCACCCGCGTGCTGCTGGGCCTGCTGCTGCATTTCCTCCACTGTGTTGAGCGCCAGCGCCACGACGGAGATGAGCACGAACAGACTGGAGGCCACCCGGATGACCTTGGCGGCCACGGAGGAGAAGGGCTTCTCCAAGAGGTTCCAGAGGCGGCGGCGCTGGGGCCCGAAGAAGCGCATGTCCCGGAAGAGCTCCTCGGCCTCCTCAGCCCGCGCCGCCTGCGCCTGGGAGCGCAGCTCGTGCTGGATCTTCAGCTGCTCGCTCAGCTCGTCGCACCGCTCCTCCAAGCAGATGCGGCAGCAGCGCGGTGTGTACTTGAGGCGCACGCCCCAGTAGCCCAGCTCCTCCAGGAAGCTGCGCGGGCACAGCTCGTCGCGCACCTGCAGCACCCCGGACGCGTAGAAGTTGTAGATGAGCTGGAAGACCTCTGGGTCGCGGTCGAAGAAGTACTCGTCCCTCAGCTCCTCATAGTCGTCGCACAGGCCCAGCTGGCGGCTGCGGCTGCTGGAGGTAACCAGGCGGCCCAGGCGGGTCTTGGGGTAGCAGGCCAGCGCCCGGGGATCCAGGCGGTAGCTGTGGCCGCCCACGTTCACATTCAGCGTGTTGAGAAGCGCGTTGAGAAGGTCGCTGTGGTCCTTCTGGGAGGTGGTGGCCTCCTGGGGCTGCTGTTCCTCCTCCGCCAGGTCTTTGTGCCACTCCTCCTCACCATCCTCGTCCTCCTCTATGTAGTAGTGATAGTTACCATCCGTCCACGATGCAGTGCTGGCCTGGGAGCCAGGACGGGCCCCCATGGAGCAGATGCTTCTGCGGTGCTGGCTGCCCACCGTGTGGGCTGGGGCCTCACTCTCAGTAGTGGGCCAGGGCTTGTAGCTCCAAGACCACCTCCGGCCTTGCTGTTTGAGCATGGCAGCAGGCTGCACCTCTTGCTTTTCCGCCCTGGCTCTGCCTGGGGCCCTAGCCTGCTCACTGCCACCAGCAGTTCTGCTCACTGGCCCTGCATGTCAAAAGACACCAGGCTGTACCAACAAACCAAGGTTCCCAAGCACTGCCCTCCCAGCTGCCCTGGGCCCCCCAACCCAGCCTGCAGGGTCTGAACACATGCAGAAGGCAGCTGTTGAAAGCACTAATCTTGCTGATAGGGACAATGCAAGTGTTAGGAGGGATTTAGAGCCTCTTAGTCTGTTTCCTCCTCCCAACCCCCTCCAGCTACTGTGAAGTACAGGGCGATTATGTGCTCTTAAATCTGTAGATAATCAGAAGACAGAGATTATTGCTAATAAAAATATCTCCCAACCCTGCCCTTAGGAAGAACTCAGTGTACGTGTGCTGAGTGAGAGGAACTGGAATATGGTACCTGTCTTCTGTGGCTTACTTGTTGAGATCCTAGCTTCTACTCTAGTAAATCCACTATCAACAAGGACTGAAATAGCACTGGAAAGCACAGCTCCCTATTTAGGTCATGCAAGAGCTCAAATAAACACATCCATTCACATGGATGAGTTTTGCTTTTTTTCCCAGATGGGTTCTCTCTCTTATTGAGGTATCATTGTAGTACAGCCATGTCATTGTTTTGGCAGTTCAGGGTGTTCCTCCTCAGTTGTCACTGTAGCAGTCCCACCACCAAGCACCCATAGTCCTCAAGTGGATTCTTTTTAGTGGCAGTGAAGTGTTTTTTGTTTTTTTTTTCCAGTTGAAGTTTTGATCTCTCCTTGTCTCTCTCTCTGCCTCTGTCTCTTTCTAACCAACCCGTCTCTCAAAAGATGTTTCAAGGTAGAATCTTGGAACTGCCAGATGGCTATCAGAATCATCCTGCTGTATTAGATCATATGTACAGCCAGACTTCCTTCTAAGGAAAAGATCTCCATTACTCTTCAAGATATCGAAGACATAGCTTTTTTTTTTTTGTCTTTGTCTCCAAGTGTAAGAGACAGTGCAATGCTGGAGAAAGAAACTCAGTGGAGATACAGCCATAGCCTTTAAGTGACTCACAGTTTTGTAGGTGACATAAATATGCAAGCAAAGAGCAAGTGAAAAATAAGGTTGTGCAGGGAAGAGAAAGCGATTTTCTTTGAGCAGGGAATTTGATTTTCAATTCAATTTATTTTGAACAGCTAATACATGCCAAAAGAAATCAGAAGGCACAAAAGTACATGCAGTAGGAAGTTTATGCCTCTCCCAACCAGAATTTCCAGAGGCAATCACTCTTACTAACTTTGGTTAATCCTTTTAGAAATTTTCTAAACATATATTAGCAGAAACCTTTCTTCATCCACCATCTGAACGGCCGTGTATTAGTAACACAAATCATAATATGCTATATACTTAGCTTTTTCCAACTAATCATATGTCTTAGAGGTGTTTTCATATCTGAAGATAAAAGGTTTTGTTTTGAAACTAGCCTTAGTATTCTGAGAATCTAGGTCAGAATGTTTTCTGTCATTGCTTTTGTAAACCCTGGCACCAGCAACAGCCTTATGCATCCTGTTTTACACATATTCAAGATGTAGGAAGGATACATTGTTAGAGGTGACTTGCCAGGTCAAATTCTACACACTTGCAATTTTAACTGAAGACACCAAATTTCTCTCATAAAAGTTTTACCAACATACAGCTCATCAGTGTGTTGGTGTATTGTCATATTTCTTCAGCTCTGCCCAGTATATAGATAAAGAATGATATGTGGATTGATTTAAATTTCTATTTCTCTTTTTACAATTGCAACTGAGCATATTTTCATGTGGTTAAGAGCTGTTGTACTTTATTACTGATTTGTGGGAGAATTTTCTATATTATAAGAACAAAAGCTTTGCGCTGACATGGATTGCAAATGTTCCTGTTTCCCTGTTTTTAATTTGGTGAGATTTTTCCCATGTAACATTTTTATTTTTAGATAAACTCTTCATCACAGACCTCTCTGGTGGCCTAGGAGTTTAGTCTCAGTCCTATCACTGCTGTGGCTGAATTTGACCTCCAGCCAGGGAGCTATCCACACAGGACACAGCAGACCTCTCCGGCTATGCCTGCTGCTCTCCTTAACAGTATATATCCATAGATCCACCTGTTCTGCTCCTCACTCTGGCTTTGGTGAATC